GCGCAATTGGCAGCTAATCTCAAGGTCAACAGTTTGAAACCACCAGATGCTCTGAGGAAGAAAGCTGAGACTTTCTACTCCTGCCAAGAGTTATGGTCTTGGAAACCCACAAGAGCAGTTTTGCTGTGTTTTCTAGCATCATTATGAGTGACCAATGTATAGTTGGCTGTGAAATTAGCCCTGCGTAAATAGGGAATACACCCGGGGTTCAATATTAGCTGGTGTTACCTGAAGCACTGCTCCCCGATCACTATGATAAAGGAGGGCTCTTGTCTTGGAGTGATTGCTAATACTCAGGGAGGCAGAAATTTTCCACCCAAGTCAACATTTATTAAAAGAAAGAAGTTTGTTAATGTTGTTAGTGGAAAAAGGAGGGATTGTGCAACACTCCCCTTACCGTCCCTGAAGTGGAGGAACTTAGAGCATATATTCATTTTCCAATGCTAGGGGTCTTACATATTTATTATAGTGGGATTGGCCTGGCATAATCTGAACCATGCTTATAGGGTGCTCACCTAGTTTCTTGCCAGCGCTGAGGGTCACACATGTATATTAAATGCAATATTGCTCCTGAGCACTCTACTGGAAGCCACACTACCAGTCAAGATGACTCAGCCAGAACAGGCTCTTCGTGAGATACGGATTTCAAGGAAAAGTTTATCTCCTGCCTTTAGCATCCCAGGGGGAGGGTGCAGTGGTGTGCATGAGTATGGGTTTATCTGGCTGAAGCTTCTGGTTTGTTAGGGCAACTGGTCCCTCTAAGTCAGTGGTTCTCAACCTGTGGGTCGTGACCCCTTTAGGGGTGGAATGACCCTTTCACAGCGGCGCCCAATTCATAAGAGTAGCAAAATGACAGTTATGAAGTAGCATCAAAATAATTTTATGATTGGGGGGTCAGCGCAACATGAGGAACTGTACGAAAGGGTTGCAGCATTAAGAGGGTTGAGAAGTACAAGCTCCTGGTGTTTTCCCAGGTCTACCCTTCAAACTCATGAGAGTGGCTGCTGCTGCCTCTTTTTGTCTGAAAGAACATTGTATTGATATATACTTCGTGTACGATACATTCCAGTCATTTAAGTATCTTAAACCAATTGGGATGTTGTCCCTCAACACCCCTCCATAGCCCTGCTCATGCCATTGAGTCCATCCTTACTCATGGTGACCTAAGGGTACCTAATGTAGTTATGGCTGATCTAGATACGCCTATCTTGGATTTCATATAAAGAAAATCATACTCCCCTCCCCCCAAATCCCATCAGCAACAAACGAACAGACCATAGTACAAATAAACTTTAATTAAAAAGAAAACAGAAAATAACAAAACAAGTGAAAAATGAGTCAAAAGTGAAAACAAATGGTATGATGTTCAATTTTAGGCTAATTATATCTGCTCTAATCCATTTTCCAGTGCATTCTGTCTGAAGACAAAACTTCATATATCTGGTCAACGGTCTGGGGAGCTTAGTGGAGACCTTGGTCCATGTAGGGGCTCTGTACTTCCAGGAGAATGGCTTCTTTGAGTTATCTCTGGTACTGTCTCATTTGAATCTACTTGACCACAATTAGTTACATATTTATTAAATTTTTGGGATATATAATTTTGAGTGGACTCTGTGTTCTCTTTGTCTTCTCTATGTTATGGATATATATAAATCCTCCTATGGTTTTAGCTTCAACACTATCAGGATGATGCCCAGACAAGCCCTGGCTCCTCTTCTGAGAGACATGCTTTCTTCTCTCAAAAATTGGCTTCTATTCTTGCCTACCTAATTTTCTCAGGAGAAAGCCCTTAAGACCTCCGCTCAATAACTCTTTCCTCCAGCACAGGCTCCCTTCTGCCTGAGTCCTCCTCCCATATAGTCACTATGATCTTTGAATTGTCTTTCTCAAAGTTTCAGTTTATGCAAATGGCATCTCCTAAAGGTGGCAATGCACACAGCCTGCACAACCACCAGGGGCACACACTGTTCTTTCTCTGAACTCTCACTTCCATATTTACCGTTCAAACCTTGTGCAGGCGCATCATTCATTTCCACCCTGCCCTTCCTGAAGACTGCTCTTTCCCACAATATGCAAGGGCAGAATTGTTCTGCTAGAAGAGACCTATAGATCCAAGAGTGGCAGACTTGGCACTATACACAGGCCTTCTGTCTGCAGGAGCTCCAGGACCTCCATCGCCTACACTACGCTCCAGGCATAGTCCTCTTCTGCACATGAAAGATGAAACTTTGTTGCCAGCCATGGGAGATTTTGTGTAAGCAAGCCTTAGCCTCATTTTTAAAATTTACCACCATTAGTCCCTATATAGACCCCTCTCCTTCCTTTCAGTCATTCAGTTATACTCTCTACTTTTGACTGCTCCACATTCATCTTCTGCATTTAAAAAAATCATTTAATCGGGGGCTCATACAACTCATCACAATTCATACATACATCAACTGTACAAAGCACATTTGTACAGTCATTGCCCTCATCATTCTCAAAACATTTGCCCTCCACTTAAGCCCCTGGCATAGGCTACTCATTTTCCCCCCTCTCTCCCCGCTCCCACCTCCCTCATGAACCTTTGATAATTTATAAACTATTATTTTGTCATATCTTACATTGTCTGCCTCTCCCTTCACCCACTTTCCTGTTGTCTGTCCCCCAGGGAGGAGATTATATGTAGACCCTTTCTACCCCACCCTCCTGCCACCCTCCCACTCTCACCACTGGTCCTGAAGGGATCATCCATCCTGGGTTCCCTATGTTTCCAGTTCCTATCTGTAGCAGTGTATATCCTCTGGTCTAGCCAGATTTGTAAGGTGGAATTGGGATCATGATAGTGTGGTGGTGGTGGGGAGGAAGCATTTAGGAACTAGAGGAAAGTTGTATGTTTCATCATTGCTATACTGCACCCTAACTGGC